CCGCACACTGACCGGCGTGGTGAAGTATGGTCAAACGACTGGCCGACACGACGTGGCGAGGCTTTCATCCAGCAGTGGATTGAGAGCGTTATTATTTACAATCGTGTAATTGTAAATGTATACTGCGTGTACAAGTAGTGTACAATGTGTAGGTGCACATCGACATCAATGCTGCGCTACGAACCCTTGCCGCCCGAGTTCGATTCCCGCTCACGGCCCACACCAGTCACTATTTTTCTGAATCTCCCCTAGGTCGACTCAGCCTCAAATGAGTACCTGGTGCGATGTTTAAACGCCGTTACTGGGGAGACAAAAGGGAGGCCAGCGATGGTGCTGGCCACCCACCCCCTCGTGTGCCGTGCCGGTCCTCATAGGTGCCACTCGCTAACTTGCTCTAGAGGGGGGGGGGGGGGTCTTGGCCACGAGTGTCAGCGTGTCACGTGTTAGATGGTGGTGTTGCACCTCTCTCTGTCTCTTGTCCTCGTGCCGCAGTCTCTTGGCTCAGCGGACAACGCTCGGAGACACGGGCTCGTCGTAGAGACACGGGTGGTTTGTGGAGACACGGGTGGTTTGTGGAGACACGGGTGGTTTGTGGAGACACGGGTGAACGTGGGGACACGGTGAATGTGGAGACACGGTGAGTATGGAGACACGATTGGTGTGGGGACACGGTGAGTGTGGAGACTCGGTGGGTGTGGAGACACGGATGAGTAGAGACACGTGCAGAGGCTCGACTCTGTAGATGTTAACATGTACGGGATATGCGTGCCTGTGTGTGTGTGATGCCACGTGGTGCCTGTACGTGCGTGCGTGTGGCGGACAGCGCTACGCTGCGCTATGAACTCGGCCACACGGGTTCGATTCCCGCTCACGGCCAACACCAGTGACGATTATCTGAACCGGTCCTGGGCCTCCCCTAGGTCGACTCAGCCTTAAATGAGTACCTTGGTTGCGGTGTGTAAACATCGCCACTGGGGAGACAAATGCCAGCCGGGCGTGGTGTTGGCCACCCACCCCCTTGTGTGCCGTTCCGACCTTTATAGGTGCTTGCTAACAGCACTTGCCCCTACAGTCTGTTAAGGCTACACCGGGGATCTTTGTCTTTTGTGTGCGATGTAACGGGTTGCCTGTGCGTGTGTGCGCGATGTAACGGAGTTGCCTGTGCGTGTGTGTGCGATGTAACAGGTTGCCTGTGCGTGTGTACGTGTGTGCGTGTGTGTGTGTGATGTAACGGGTTGCCTGTGCGCGTGTACGTGTGTGTGTGTGATGTAACGGGTTGCCTGTGCGTGTGTGTGTACGTGTGTGTGTGTGATGTAACGGCATGCCTGTGCGTGTGTGTGTGATGTAACGGGTTGCCTGTGCGTGTGTACGTGTGTGCGTGTGTGTGTGCGATGTAACAGGTTGCCTGTGCGTGTGTACGTGTGTGTGTGCGATGTAACAGGTTGCCTGTGCGTGTGTACGTGTGTGTGTGATGTAACGGGTTGCCTGTGCGTGTGTGTACGTGTGTGTGCGATGTAACGTGATGCCTGTGCGTGTGTGTGTGTGATGTAACGGGTTGCCGGTGCGTGTGTGATGTAACGGGTTGCCTGTGCGTGTGTACGTGTGTACGTGTGTGTGTGTGTACGTGTGTGTACGTGTGTGTGTATATACGTGTGTGTGTGTACGTGTGTGTGCGATCGTAACGGTTTGCCTGTGCGAGCTGTGTAAAGACCGCCCCGCCGTCTCCGTGACTCCTCCACGCGCCCCGCGCTCGACATCATTGTGAGCCGCGTGCCGGGGCCAACTCCAGCTGATCAATGCTCCGGCTACAAAGTTCCCCGACAGATCAATGCGCCTGTCTTATATTCTGCACAACGACGCTATATCATGATTATTTAGTGTTATACATTGTATATATATATATAATCTTGATTTGAAGCTTTCGTGACTGCAGGAATTCATACTCTCTGGTTCTTTCGGTAAAGCCACGTGGGTAGAAAAAAGAATAAAAGAAAACACGACGTTTCGGGCGCAACACAAGCGTCCGTCTTTATATAGTTTCGACCTCGTCGTCCTTCCTTGTCTATGCACATCCTGGCAGTTAATCAGCATCGGTTTGGAGCAACACCGACTCTGCCGACGAGACACAGCATGTCGAATCGTGGCTCGGAGTTTTCTCGTATGAAAAGAAAGCTGCTCGAAAAATAAAAAGACAGCTCTCGCCCAAGGCCGTGTGGCCCATGGGATATGGGTAAAATAAATATAGATAATGATTGTTATTTAATTGATGTTGAGAGATAGATATGGGAAGGATGTGTTTCGTCTGCCTGTGGATGTTGTTACTCGACTCGTCAGTCCACGGCACTTGTTAGAGCGCGCGTCTGATGGACGCAGCTTAGATTTGTTGTTGTTTAATATATAACTACACCTCGGATCTAAACGTTGCTTAAACCCACATTTTACATGCAGTTGTGCTGTTGCTTAAACCCGAGCGCATCCCAAGATGCGCCGCGCACAAGACGTGCGCGCTCGAGAGGGCTAAACTTCAGGCGAGGAACTGAAGAGGAGGCGGAGGCTACGGCAGAAAGGGAATTGAGAGTGAAGTTTCCTTTGAACGAAGCCTCTTCACGGACACAGAGGGACTCCTCATCCGGGCACGGGGAGGAAGAGTGGAGTCGTTTGGAGCCCCCCTTGGACGGGAACGCAGGGAAGTCGCTCCCCAGAGAGATTGGTCAGAGCGAGGGGCACAGCGCACAAGAAGGGAGCAGCCATTTCCCGCGACGGCTGCGGGTTTGCGTGCACGTCATGTGGAACTTCACGTGGCCTCAACGTGGCCTCGACGTGCACGTAGCATGGCACAAGCGCCGTGGTGACGTCACCGCCACTTGGTGCCATGTAGAACTTCTTTTCGCACATTCGATGAGCACGGTTGGCTGCGTACGGCGCGTAAGAAGTCCACCGTAAATACAAAACAACAACAAAATATCGCGAAAGTACCGTGCCGGTATGATCAATGTACCCGCCATCGCAGCTGGTGTGATCGATGTCTGTGTTAGAATACATCTCGAATGATGTACGCGTTAGAGAAGCCCGTGCAATATAAGCATCAAAGTGACCGTGGCGTATTAGCGTACCTGCCATGAATTGTGCCTATCAGATTGCCCGCGCCACGCACGTGCCCGCTGGAGTGCGTGACACGTCTGCGGCAGACGCGCCACGTGTCCCATAGCCCGCAGGTGACCCGATAGCCACGAAGCAGACGCCGGCACGAGGCACCGTTCTGTCCAAAGTCGCCGAGAAAACCGCAGAGACCGCCCGCGATAGAGCGACGAGTGTTGCGGCTGTCAAGGTGGCCACGAGGCGTGGAGACGGAGGGCACGGTGTTGCCGACCAGAAGACACGCGGAACGCAAGGTTCGGGGATACCGGGAAGCAACCAAGTGTGGGGGAGACGCGGGGAACGCGCAGGCACGAGACATGGGGGCTCGCACATTCGTGAAGACACCGATGAGCGCGTCTCTTCCGCAGGGAGCGCGAGGAGAAACAGGGAGCACGGCGAAGTATGGGAGCAACGCGGGGGGGGGGGGGTAGCACGTGGCCGTGGATGAGCGAATCCGTCCCGGAGTTTCGCGCCTTCGTTACAAATCCGCGCTGTACCCGCTTTTGATCCTCGTGATAGGCGGCGCAGCGGTGCCGAAATAATTAAACGTTATAATTGAAAGGAGGAAAGCCACCCCCCACCACCACCCCCACGCGCATACACAATCAATCGCCTCGCATTTTCTTTTCTCGATTGTCGTTTCGGGTTAAGGGTTCCAAATCCAGACGACCGATGTGGGATTATTAAAATGTACAAGTTCAAGGGCTTTGCTCTTCTACCCCAACACCAGGTGTCGTGTTCCCGCAGACTGGGGCTAAGAAAAATAAGCAACTACACACACGCACACACACGCGCCGAGACTGCGGCCTCGTAACAAAGTGAAATCGGGTGCACCCACAACCCCATCGCGTTGCTTCACCGAAGCGAACACAAAGGCGCCGCGTGGTGTCTTACGCTGCGACGACGGCGTGAACGAGTTGAACATGCGCGTCGTTGTGCGGTTAAAACACACGCACACACACACACGTGGGCGCGCGTGTGTGTGTGTGTGCATGGGGAGCGGTGGTGTAGCGGTTAGCGGTACGCTGCGCTATGAAACCGGCGACGCGGGTTCGATTCCCGCTCACGGCCAACACCGGTGACGATTATCTGAACCGGTCCTGGGCCTCCCCGAGGTCGACTCAGCCTCAACATGAGTACCTGGTGCGGTGTGTAAACATCGCCACTGGGGAGTGGGGAGACAAAGGCGGTCGGGCGTGGTGCTGGCCACCCACCCCCTCGTGTGCTGTGCCGGCCTTTATAGGTGCTCGCTAACGGCACTTGCCCCAACAGTCTGTTAAAGGCTATACGGGGGATCTTTGTCTTTGTGTGTCACCTCACGGAGAGAGACTGGGAGAGGAAGTTCGCGCGGCGCCAGTCGCGACAGCGGATCGCGACGCGACACACGACATGTAAACGGCGTCTTAGTGCACATCTGTGTTTAATTCTTGTCGCCAAATTGATACATACGATTAAATTATAAGGGAGCACAAAATATCTTACATTATTGTTAATTTCCCAGAACTATCGATTACCGCAAAAAAATATACAACTATTGTACAAAGTGCGATATTGAGACTCGACACAGCCTATGGGCGTCACGACCAAGCGAATCTTAATTTAAGGAACGAACCTAAAACAAAAACAAAACTTCGCTATTTTTAACCGAACAGGAAGGAAAAAAAACCCGTCGCAAGCAGCAGCAGTCACCTCGTGAACCCGAAGTCACAACGCGCAGATTTTTTTTGGTCTTCAACTCACGAAGCTCCTCACCTGTGCGCCCAGCCGGCACCGCCGCGGCCCCACGAGTTCTCCAAGAGCGCGCACCGCTCGCGGGAGGGGGCCTCTTCCACCTGCCCCCCTCCTCCTTCTCGGCTCAGAAGCCGCTGCCGCACACCCCCCACCCACCCCCCCCACCCCCGGCTCAGGAGCCGTTGCCCCCCGGCTCAGGCCCGCACGTCTCGGGGGAGTGTGGGTGCGGGGAGCCGGGGTTGCTCGTCTCGTCGCTCTCGCTGCCCGCCTTGCCGCCGCTGTGCGTCTTCACGTGCTTGCTCAGGTGGTCGCTGCGCATGAACCTCTTGTTGCACACGGGGCACGCGAAGCGCTTCTCGCCCGTGTGCGTGCGCAGGTGCCGCTGCAGCTCGTCCGAGCGCGTGAAGCGCTTGCCGCAGAAGAGCCAGTTGCACACGAAGGGCCGCTCGCCCGTGTGCCAGCGCAGGTGCGCCTTGAGGTGCGACGTCTTGCCGTACACCTTGCCGCAGCCCGGGATGTGGCAGTTGTGGAGGCCTTTGCGCCTCAGGCTGGCGCCGGGTCCCAGCCGCTCCGCCTCTTGGCAGTTGGGGCAGTCGCACGTGGCGCGCCCCGGGAAGCGTCGCGCCAGGGCGCGCGAGGAGCTGCTCAGGGTCGGCGGCCCCGAGATCATGGGCCCCGGGGGCAGGCCGCCGCTGCCGCCGCCGGGCGACTCCCCGTACGAGGGTAGCATGGACTTGAAGCCGTCCTGCGCGAGCAGGTGCTGCGTGGCCGGGAGCAGGTGGGGCGAAGAGGCGGAGATGCCCGTGGAGCTGAAGGCCGAGTGTCCGAGGCTCGAGAAGTCGGAGCTGTAGCCGCCGAGCTGCGAGTGCAGCGCGGGCGACTGCAGCGGCGCCGAGTGCAGCGCGCCCTGGAGACTCCCCGCGGGGTTCTGCACCTCGAGCCAGTTCGAGTTGGCGTGCACGTCCCACCAGGCGGACGTCCCCGCGCTCACGTCGTTGCTGACGCCCGCGTGCGCGCCCGCCTTGAACCACGACTCGTAGGGGTGGGCCATGCCCACGCGCGAGTACATGCCCTGCAGGCTCTCCTGCACCGACGTATGCACCTTGGACACGAAGGCCGACTGCGAGCACTCGGGCGAGCTGACGCTCGTGGCGACGACGGGCGGCGCTTGGTAGAGCGCGTAGTCGCCGGGGAAGCCGGGCGAGGAGGACGAGGATGCGGTGGACGAGGAGGAGGAGGCGGCGAGGCTGAAGGCGCTGGGCCCCGCGGCGACGTGGCCGCTCGCGCAGTCCGCGAGGTCCCCGCGCTGGCCCGGGTTGCCCAGGCCCGGGTGCCCGGCGCCGCTAGACGTGGGCCGCTTCCACGGGTAGAAGCCGCCCTTGCCGTACGCGGGGGAGTCCGCGGCGGGGGACAGGGCCCGGGCGCTGCCGATCTTATTGCAGGTGGCGGCCAGCATGGCCAGCGGTGCCGAGGTCAGCTTGTGCTCCTCCTAGGGCCGTGGTGGTGGGGAGGGGGGGTCGGGGTGTGGAGACGCACAGGGGCGGCGGGCGAGCGTGAGTTTCTCGCGGCGCTTACCGTGGCTAGGCGGGGCGGGGGGGGTCTCACTCGCGACCCCGAGGCGAGGGCTGCCGCGGTCCGGCTCGGCGGTGCGGTGTCGTAGCGGTTGTTGGGAATCACGAGATGCAACCGCGAAGTGAAACCGCGTGTCACTCTCTCCACCCGCGTGATTTCACAGAACTCCTCGAGACGCGGATCGCATCGGGCTAAAGTCGCCCCAAACTGATCTGCGCCCGGGACCCGCGTGCAACTCCCCTAGAGGCGGCGACAACTCCCGTGCGCGCGCGGGACGTACCTGGTGCTCTTCGCCGCAGAAACGCTGAACCGCAGCCGCAAAGAGCAACTTGGGGCGCGCCGGAACAACCCGGGCTCGCTCGGGGAAGCCGCGGAGGGTGAAGCCGAGGCGCGCCTATGGGGCCCCGGGGGCACGGGGCAGAGAGGCGGAGAGAGCGAGGCCCGCGACAGCAACGCACACAGCCATGGAGCAGCGGGAGCAGAGCGCACTCACCCCCGGGATGGAAGCTGCCATCACAATAAGTCCGCGCTCCTCCAGCCTCGGGGTTTTTATAGGGGGTGCTGGCTCTCCGTGGAGAGGGACAAAGCGGAGTGGGCGAGGCGCCCCCTCCGCGCGCGTAATGTACTCCGCGTCGCCTTTGAAGAGCCGCCTCGCCCCGCGCGCAGCCAATAGCGCCGCTCTCCCCGCGGGGCCGCGATGGGGAGCGCGGCACGGCGCGTCGCCACGGGGGTGGCCACGGGGGGACCCACGGGGGGCTCCACGGGGGGCCCCAGCTCCACCGGCATCAGCGGCGGCGGCAGCAGCAGCAGCAAGCGGCGGCGGCGTGAGTCCAAGCGCGATCATACAACCAATCAATCGCACGTTTTGCCCGTGGACCCGATATGCAATCGGTGTGTTGTTTTGCCGATGGATGGAGCGAGCCGAGCGCATTGTTTTGTGATGGACGCTACGGTGCCACGCACCAGGTGAGGAGGTGAGGGCTACCCGCTCTGAACGCCGCCCCCCGGACCCTGGAACGAACTCATACAAATCCTCATTTTCAGCTCCACTTCACCCATTACATCCACATCGCCCCCCCCCCCGCCACTCCACTCCACAAGCCCGCACGTTAACTTCTGGTCATCCGAGCTGGGCACTCCGCCCCCTGCAGCCGCTCGTTGAGTCTTACCTGGCGCGCTCACCTCGTCCTCACCTGCTCACCTGCTCACCTGCGCGGGGCTGCTTTCCCGCAACAAGGGCGCGAAGCGAACTCGGGAAACTCGCGATACGTTGCAAAGGTGAGTGGTTGTACGGGGGCGTGTAGTAGTGATGGAGTGATTGGGTAATCGTGTGGAGGAGGCTCGTGAAGGACGCTGCTACTGGGCAGTTGGAGACAGTCGCCCTCCAGCAACAACGGAGGACAGAGGAGCGACGCTCACAACAACGAGCGGAGCGCCGGGCGGTTAAAATACCATGGCATCTGTTGGGTTTGTCCCGTGACCTCCCGTCAGCGAGCCTTCGACACTTCACCTGGCCTCAAAAGTGCACCTGGCCTGGTGACGTTACCGTCACTTCGTGGCGAATGGCGGCTGTATTTGTGCGTGTGCTTCCGTACAAGTTGGTAACACGCTTACCGTGTGTGTAAGGAAGCGATGTGTAGGTATAGGTGTGTCTGTATGGCGGGCGTGTGTCGCACGGTGACCCGCGGGTCGGGGCGATCAACTCATCCCGTGTTTTGCCGCAAGGCGCACTCAGACAGGGGTGCGTGGCAGCGAGGTTCCGTGGTTCCTGTTCTGCGCGTGCTGCGTGTACTCTTACAGCATACGTGCGTGCCAGTCTCGCTCTGTCACGTGCTGGTTTTGGCGATGTTCACCCACGACGTTTAGTTTCGTGTGGCCATAGCGCTCGGTGCAACAACAAAAAAACAGAGTTGAGCGTCTCCCCCCCCCCCCCGCCGCCGCCGCGGACTCCCCCATGGAGGTGGCTCCCCTCTCCATCCCCCTTCCCTCCCCTTCCATTCAACTCCCTCCTCCTCCCTCCTCGTTGATTCTCCTCCCTTCTCCTCCCTCCATCCCGCCCGCTCCCTCCCACTTGCCCGCCCCGGCAATGAATCGCGGGGCGGGCGATTCCCGTGCCAGAGCTGCCCTCTCGCCTCTCGTTAATTTCATTTAAATGTTAAACACGGGACCCTTCGGAGCACGCCCTCTCCACGCGCTTTTACTGCCTTGTTTAGTTCCCCGCTCCTCCCCGGGCGTCTGATGGACTTCATAACCATACAGACTCCCCTGACACCACAGCAGCAGCAGCACCACATGCACTGCCGGCAACTTAACAAATAAAGTTGCGCATTGCTACTGACACGGGTTGATGCCGGTGGCGTCGTGGTGTCCGTGTTGATGTGGCCGCCGTTGGTTGGTGTCGGTGATGGGTAACGGTGGTGATGGGATTTGGTGATGGATCTCCATGGCAATAGCAACAGTGATGATTGGTGTCGGTGATGATGGGATTTTGTGATGATGGGTGTCCGTGATTATGTAATTCTGTGATGATGAATGTCCGTGATGATGGGATTTTGTGATGATTGGTATCCGTGATTATGTGATTCTGTGATGATGAATGTCCGTGATGATGGGATTTTGTGAAGATGGTATCCGTAATGATGGGATTTTGTGATGATTGGTATCCGTAATGATGGGATTTTGTGATGATGGGTGTCCGTGATTATGTGATTCTGTGATGATGAATGTCCGTGATGATGGGATTTTGTGAAGATGTGTATCAGGCAGTAAATGTGTGGCGCTCCTCACTATTCACCAGGGCCATTCTCTCCGTTTTTACGAACGTTCCGCCTCCAAACAGCAAAAGTGCTTTACCGATTCAAGCATCGCGTCCCTCCGTGGCGGTTGAAGTCTGACGCCGATTGCATCATCCTCGCCCCCGCCCCTCACCCCTGGTGATTGTCGTTGCGTCATATCGATCATCATCATCGATCATCAACCACAACCGTCGTCATCGACCGACGCGGTGATTTTGAGATCCCGGCAGTAGCCGTCACCTCCATCCACTTTCAGAGTCGCGGCATTCACGGAGAGCCACGCGATTGAGCCGCGTGACAGGAAATCAAGATTTTAGGAGGAGGAGGAGGAGGAATAAGAAGGAAAAGCCCCGTGCCCGCGTCTTGCACCACCACTTACACAGCAAATCGACAAGTCCCGGCTGTTTCGCTCGTTCGGTCAACACGGCCCCATATAGCTTCTGACACATCTGTTCAAACCCACACTCAATACGGTATTACTATTATTATTGTTATCATCGCCCGCACCTATGTGTGTGTGTGTCTCCACTCGCATCTCTACAGCGGTGTAGAGAGATGCACGGTTGGCTACGCACGGTGCGAGAGAAGTTCAACATACATGCAGTGTTGTCACAACTCCCGCTGTGGCCTCGCGCCGTCTCAACACACGTGGTAACCCCCCCACCCCCCCGAGCGCATCCGCACGCTTTATTAAACGCACCTCAGAAGCTGGTGCTGTGAGTATCGCGTGTAGTGCGCGCGCGTGTGTGTGTGTGTTTGCTCGGCAGTAAATGTGTATTTATTTACAAAGCGGCTGAATGCGACCGCGTGGCAAGCCGCTCTGCATATACGGGAGCGTGGCCATCTAGACTCGAGAGAGTTTCAAGAAGTTGTTGTTGTTCCAGTCAACAAATATTCTTTCGACATGTTTAAATATCAGAGTTCGTATGTATCCAAATCAAGTCGAAATCTGAATGTGTTATTACAGGGTTTTGTGCAGACCACCGTGTAGTCACTGGGTTGAGACCACCAACTCGCTACACTTGAGAACCCGGTAAAAAATCACAGGCGACTGAGTCCCCGGGTGTGAACCCAGAAACTCGGCAACTGGCGAGGTGAGCCACACCACCACACCAGCCTGGCATTCAACAAGTGAGGTACATGTACGACAAGGAGGAATCTCAAATTTCCACATTATAATAATAATGCCCACAGTGTCCTTAACGTGACGGAAGCGTAATCAGGTGGTAAATAGTCGAGACCCCCCCTTCTGGGATTGTGCTGCTGTCAATCATCCGAGAATCTCACCCAGATCCGGAAGAGCGCTGCTGGCTGGTGAACATAGTGGAACAAAGCGGACGTCCAAAATAAACACACACCCCCCCCCTCCCATTCGAGACTCAAACATCGCGTTGCAGGACATTGGCAATGCTCGAAGACGCTGGTGTGACCGTCAACCGCATCGTAACACCGACGTGCCGATGCACCAAGTCTCCTTCATACGTTGAAAATGAATGACAAGCCACATTAGTGCGACTGTGGTCATGCAATCCAAACTATGGGACGGTAAAGTCAACTCATTGTAGTCAGGGCTGGCTTCGATGGAGGAGGGGGAATAGCAACACTCCATGAACTCTCTCCCGAAGCACACCTCGATAATGGCTAGGAGATGTTAACTCCCTCGCCTGGTATGCAGAGGGCCGTATGTTCGATCCCAACCCTGACGCCTGATGAATATTAGATTTCATGTCACTCTCCCCGTGGTCGCGTGGATTTTTCTATGAGTCCTCCGGTTTTTCCCTCGAAATTTAAAATCCATGTGGCTGCTCTACATCTCTACGTGATAAGCCACTTCGTTGAGCTATCATTTGTGGCCAGGTCGCTTCTGAAACTAGCTATACAGCTCAGTGGGCCTTACTTGGAAACCAAAAATATACTCTTTGTTTTTTTCGTTAAAGTCACGTAGGTAAAAAAAAAATCAAATTGTTTTCATCATTTGATTTGATTTGTTTTTACCTACGTGACTTTACCGAAAAAAACAAAGAGTATGAATCCTTGCAGTCACGAAAGCTTCAAATCTAGAACAACAAATATTTATGCTTTATATATTACCCGCCACCTGTCACGTAATTGTAGGAGCTGCCCTTCTTTAACTCGTCCATAGCCTCGGGGGAGGCGAGGTTCGCGCACTTTGAACTCGGAGACCTGAATTCGGTCACGTCTCACAGCAACAACGAGTGACAGCTTCCTTGGTCCTCTTCGCAAATGCGCTCTCACTGACCAGCGTGGTTGAGGAATGGTCAAACAACCGACATGACGAAGGGGGAAGACCTTCATCCAGCAGCGGATTGACAAGGGGTTGCAATTATCCTTAGACACAATACGTATGCTTTTGTATGAAAAAAAATAAGAATATGTTTGACACTTTCCGGCAATAAAATAGCAGGTGTTTAGATGTTCAAACACCAAATAGGAACCTTTTGCAAGGAATCAAGTCCGCGTTAACCGCACGTACTCGTGGTGAACATGCAAACAAAGATGCTCTGATAATGTATGGCATTGTCTTTGAAACTGATGCGGAGACGGGAGGCTGGCAGATCGGCGGTGCGCGCGTCCGAGTCCGTGGGTCCTGCGTTATCGCTCACGCGCTCGCAAAGATAGCATCAGTAACGTACAGAACTTGGTGATGCTGCTTTGGCAGTGGTGCACAAGGACAATTAACAACAACAACAACAACAACTCAACAATGACCCACCCCATCCTCATTGCTGCGAGAGAAGGATCACCGTCCGAAGCGTCGACGATTTATATATTTCTGGAGTGATCATCTCGGGTTGCTTTCTGTTTTTTTTGTTTCTGGAAAAAGAGTCACTGCCCGACACTTTAGCTCACCGCGTTTTGTTTTGGTTATACAACGGTGGTAATGACGAAGGTGGGAGGTGATTTTGATCATTAACTCACGCAGCTTCTATTTACATATATACGCGCGTGTGTGTTTGTGTGTTGGCGTATGTGTGTTTGTGTGTGTAGGAGTGGAGGCTGTGGTGTAGCGGTTAGTGCTACGCTGCGCTACGAGCCTGGTCGACCCGAGTTCGATTCCCGCTCACGGCCAACACCAGTGACGATTATCTCAACAGGTTCTGGGCCTCCCCTAGGTCGACTCAGCCTCAAATGAATACCTGGTGCGGCGCGTAAAAACATCGCCACTAGGGAGACAAAGGCGACTGGTCGTGGTGCTGGCAACCCACCCCCTCGTGTGACGTTCTGGCATTCATAGGTGCTCACTAACAGCACTTTCCCCAA